TGTTGGACATGATGAGGTCTCATAAAGCTTGTGTTAGCTTGTCCTAGTGGTGACTTATTTTCGTAAGCTCTTAAGCCATTTGTAGAATATAGGAGGAACACTCTCTTCTCTTTTAGGCCTGATGATTGAAGTGTTAGCGTAGCTTGTATGCACTGGAGTAGTGGTTGTTGACCTGGTATTGTGAAGTGAAGTCAATTTAGCCTGAACCAGTATATCAAAAGGAGTATATTGAAAAAAGAAGGGTTATGTAAGGCTTATAAGCTTCACCCTAACACAGTAAAAGGCAATTACGAGAACTGCACATAGTTCCCTTCCAAAACAAAAGCCTTTATTTCTAATTAGTAGTTTCTGAGCATTCCTGGTGAATGCAAGATAATTCCCCAGTATCTTCTCCCTTACTACTGATTAGCAAGATTCTAAGGACAGATTAAAACTGTTCTGTGTGACAGGGAGCTGAGACTCTCAGACGAACTTTAAATATTGCTGGCACTGTAGTGAAAGTATTCCTGCTAAGTCGTGAGGCTTACAGTGCTGCCAAGAAGTGGGTGCTGGGACAAGGGTTCTGTGTCCTGAGAAGTTGTCCAGAAGCAGTTCTCTCTTTCTGTCTCTGCGTTAACTTACTCTGAAAAATTGCTGGGCTTTGATCTCATATTCCTGGTCACTTTCTACTGTGAGGTCTCCCACAGGCAGGGTCTTCTGATTTTGGAGACCAACAGCAGAGTTTTCTTTGTAGGTATCCCTGCTCTTAGCCTTGCTTTGTGCAGGTTGGAACATGGGTATTGCTTCTTTGTACAGGTCCTGGGACCCAATTCAACTGCAAACAGCATTATGGCTGCCTATCAACAGAGGAGGATGGTGACTCCTGTTGTACAAGGTTAGTTGAAGCTCTGAATGGGTGTGAAATGCCAGTGAGGTCAATGGGGTTTCAAGCATTGCTACCTCCCCCCAGTTGTAGCATTTATTCAGTTGTAGGAGTTTCTTGCTTTTCTGTAAGGTGTACACTCCCTCCTTGGGGCAAGTGAGCAGCCTTAATAAGGTTTTATTTGCTCTGAAGTCCTGTGCTAAAACTACTGTACTTCTGGCATCCTGCGTGTGTAGCGCCTGTCTGTCGTGACAGAGGGAATTGGAAGTCTGATTTCTTAGGGAATGTCTTGGATAATTCTGCTTGTAACTTGCCTGCTGAATTTTTCTGTTGGCTTTGGCAGCCAGGCCAGGCTCTCCACCAGGCCAGGCTGCAGTCTGTTGTGGTGCTTTGCCACTTGAAGTCCTTGCAACTAATACACACTTAGGGCTGAGAGGCCTAGCAAGGGCTGGTCCCATCTCCCCTCTGTTTTCCCTCTTCCTCACTACTTCTTACCATTTCTTCCCCTACTAGTCCTGGAATTGCCCGGAGAAATACTTCAATAAACTCTAGATGCGACCTGCCCGATTGCCACTTGTCAGGGCTGGCTCCAGAGAAAGCCTTGTGCCTCTTGTTCATACTTAACAGATCCAGCTGGCTGTTGTGTGCCATGTCCCAGCTACCTGTGAATTAGCAAATTTTTTGCTTTCTGCCATAGATTGTTTCCTGCTTGTTCTGAACAGTTAACACTTAATGGAGAGGGGCTTGACATGCCCCAGGGATTGATTTCTGTAAGCAGTCCTGCTGGGCCACTCTTCTCTGTAGGCTGGTGATCAGTCGCTAAAGGGAAATGCTGTGTGTCAGAGAGTTACCAGTGTCTTTTGATATAAAGAAAAGCAAACTAAGTAGCTGACAGCTCCTGGAGAAACCATCTTGCTGTTACCGTCTGTTCTGACACTTGTCCTGTTTCCCTTTCAGATCCAGAGTTACTTATTCCACCAAAACTCAATAAAAATCTACAGTGGAAACTACACCTTCTCTAATAACTAGAAGCCAAGGAATTCCGGTGGACTCTGAACTGTAATTTTTCATATAATGTCATTACATGTTTACAGAAACCATTGTTGTCCTGGTGTTTTCTGACATACTGTTCTTAGGGCTGTGCAAGTGAAGGGTCCCTCCACCTGATGCGACTGTGACTGTGACCTGTATGGGGTCATGCTAATGGGGACAGCCACTCGCTTCCCACTGCAGAGATGGTTTGTGAGATTGGGGAGAAAGAGGGTGTGCAGCCCTGCACGCTGCTGGTTGAATCCAACATCTCCCACCACTGTTCCCTCCCTTCTGGATGAAGAAACCCCACCAGTGTTGGATGGGCTCTTTTCTCTGCCATCACTTCCTCCCTTGGATGGTACTTGCTGTGATGACAGGTCACGTTTCAAGCTGTTCAGCCTGGTGTAGGTACCAACAGGAAATAGTTGTAGTTGCTAAACACATGAGCTGTGTTTTCTGTGGTGAAGCTGGACGTTTGTAATACCAGATTCTCATCCCAATCGCTGTGTTACCTCAGAGTGAACACTGCGGTACCAACAGCCGTTGCCATCCTGGGAGTGTGACCCAGGGAGATCTTGGGCAGAGGGAAACATGAATAAAAGCAGGGGAGAAAGGTGAGGTGGGGGGTGTCAGCATTGCACACTGCTGGGGGATGCTACCACAGTTATCTCAGTTTAAAAAAGATCACCTAATGCTGCTGTACGGCGCTGGCAGATCAGCAGCTGTACCCTGATGATGCTGCGTGCCGTGGCGGAGCTGTTTCGGGTAGGAAGTTAGATGGGTTTCCAGCCCAGAATTAGGTTTTACCCCAGAACAATTCTGCGATCTGACTTGAGAGCGGCAGTCCTGGGAGCAACAGGACTGGTGATCCTGGTGGACAACAGGATGCCCATGAGCCAGCAATCTGCCCTTGTGGCCAAGGCGGCCAATGGTATGCTGGGGTGCATCAGAAAGAGTGTGACCAGCAGGTCCAGGGGGGTTATCCTGCCCCTCTACTCTGCCCTGGTGAGATCCCCATCTGGAGTACTGTGTCCAGTTCTAGGCTCCCCTGTTGAAGAAGGCCAGGGAACTGCTGGAGAGAGGACAGCAGAGGACCACAGAGATGATTAGGGGCCTGGAGCAAGTCACTTCTGAGGCAAGGCTGGGGGACTTGGATCTTTTTAGTCTGGAGAAGAGAATATTGAGGGGGGATGTGATCAACACCTCTAAATGCTGCAAGGGAGGGTGTTGAGAGGATGGGGCTGGTCTTTTGTCAGTGGTGCCCGGTGACAGGACAAGAGGAAATGGGCACAAACTTGAATCTAAGAAGTTCCGTCTAAACATGAGGAGGAACTTCTTTACTCTGAGGGTGGCAGAGCACTGGAACAGGCTGCCCAGGGAGGTGGTGGAGTCTCCATCTCTGGAGACATTCAAAACCCACCTGGATTCATTCCTGTGCAACCTGCTTTGGCAGGGGTGTTGGACTAGATGATCTCCAGAGGTCCCTTCCAACCCCATCCCATTCTGTGATTCTGGGAGCAGAGGAAGGGGAAAAGCTCGGGCAGGGGAGGTGAGAAACCCTTCCAGTGGTCACAGCCCCCTTCTCCCTCGGTTAACTCTGGCCTGGCAGCTGCTGCGTTCAACGCAAACCATTTCAGTGAGGTGCTGTGGAACAACGTCAGCACAAACAGGGCACCTCCTGTCTGTGGGAGGTGCCTGATGCCACGGCGAAGGGCCCTGTTCTCCCTGCACAGCATTAGCATGGGCTGGCGCTGCCGGCCACCGCTCTCCTGATGCAAAAACTTCATCCTCCTGAGCTTACACTGCATGTGCCTGGGGTCGTCGGCGTGGGCTGGTAAAACAGCCCTGTGTCAGGAAGCATTGGAATGGTCTTTATTTCCAGCTGTTCCGAGTTACATGGCCTATTTTGGGTGGCGTGGGGATAGCTTGAGCCTCTTGTCAAGTGCTGTGACTGCCCTGGAAAGAGGTTCTCCGAGAGTAAAGTCTTGGGATAGCAAAACACACAGAAGGCTGCATGGGGTGGGAGTCTTTTACTGGCTCTGGGTCTTCAAAAGGGTAGTAGAACACAGACCAAGGTGAACTATGGAAGCTATTTTTCAGGGAAAGGGGTGATGAGGGAGTCTGCGGTCCTCTCCAGGGTATGGAGGGCTCTGGCCCTGCAACTGAAATGACACCACTAATTCCTGACATTCCTGAATCTGATGCCAGGAAATGCTGATGTCTGCACAGCCTCATCTATGGTCTAGAATGAGTTTCTCTCTTTAAAAAAATAAATAAAATAAAATAAGGTAAAAGTAGTGCCAGCTTGCTGAGGATCCATGCTTATGCATAAACACTGCAGTTCCTTTAATGTACGCATATGGGTGGTTCTGCTTTTTAAAGCTGAAGACCCTCTGGCCTTAGACACGTTTTCCTGTTCTCCCCCAGGGCAGAACCTCTTTAAGTCTGTCACCCCGGGGGGGAGGCCAGTTTTCTAAATCTTTCACGGGGTGAATTCACCACTGAAGTCCACTGCCCCCCCCCACCTCACTGAACTTTGGCTGAGGAGCAGTAGAGCTGGAAGCAGCACCTAGTGCTGGAGCACCTGCTCCAGGGAGGGTGTCCTGCCTTCTGCTTCTGCAGGTGCTGAACCTTGGCTTCTCTTCCCCAGCGGCAGCCAGGAATCTGCTCTCCCTGGATCCTCTTTTGCTTTCTTAGTGATGGGTGCCATTCTGCCTTGGCTGCTGTCTTTCTTTACAGACATGTTGAATTTGCTCTTCTGAGCTCTGTGGAGGCTCGTGCAAACAGATGCAGTTATCAGGAACTGAAGTAAGCCCTTAAGGCAGAAACGGGGAGTTAGTTTAAGGAATGTCCCAATTTCTGGGCAAATGTGTCTGTGTGGAAGCTTGTTTCTCTCGTTAGGGTAGAAGTTAGTCAGCTGTCTGCTGCCTAGCTTCATTAAATACAAAATACAAAAGAACTCAGGCACGCAGTACCACAAAACTAACACAGTTCCAGCAAAAAAAAATATCTCTTAATTACAGCAAGGGGTGGAAAGGAGGTGCTGTTGCCTTGCTTCAGGTATCCTTTGTCAACACCGGTCATTCTAAGGCACCTTGTGTCTTCCTCAGAAGCACTTATTAAAAATGCAGGAAGGACCATATTCTTCGTATTCGCTGCTGTAAACATAAAGCTCCTGGAAGGAGTGGAGTGAGGCCAGAATAGACCCACCAATCCAGACAGAAGACTTTCTTCGAGGGGAAGCAGCTGCGATGGGTTTGTCAGCAGGGTACCTCTTGGCCAGTTCCATCTGGAAGCGGTCAGCAAAGCCCTCCATCATAGTATTGCCCCCACACAGCAGGATATTCCTCACCATTTTTTTCTTGATGGCAGCATTACACTTCTTGAGACTGGTGAGCGTCAGCTGCAAGAGCCCAGGCTGCTGTGAACCAAGTAAGGCTGGGTTGAAGAGCGCCTCAGCGCAGATGAACCTCTCCTTGCCCACAGTGATCACGTGTTGGTCGGGCAGTTCGTAATCCACTTGTTGTTTTTGAATGGGCATCCTCAAGTCCCGCCTAGGGTTCAGAGAAGCGTAACAACACTTCTCTTTCAGATCTTGTACAATGTTCAGCTGGTGTTCCGTGAACACATTTCCAGACTCATTTAGTAACTTCATGAGGTAATGTGTGATGTCCAACCCAGCATAATCTACACTCTTGGTGAAGCCACGTATTGTATAACCTTCATAGACGGGAACCACATGCGAAGCGCCGTGCCCACTTTCCACCACGAGAGCTGAGGTTTTTCCGTAAGAGTACATGGATAAGCAGGACTGGTAGGCCATGTGGAAGGCAGGCACGTGGAATCCTTCAAACATCATCTCAGCGTATCTCTCCTTGTCAGTGATGGACCACACGGGAGGCACTGACACCAGAACAGCATGGTCCTCTGGCTGAATCTTCATCTCCGTCTGGAAAATATACTCCAAAGTATCTTGGACACAGTTCCAGTCCACCACTATGCCATGTCTTACTGGGTTGGCGAGCATTAAGGGTGCGCTGCTGTTCTGAAGGTCTCTTCCAACAAAGGTTTCTTTTTGACTGCGCTCAGCTGTCCCTACAGGCGTACCAACTGTAGATGAAATAACGTGGGAAGGCCATGCGTCCCCTGCAAAGCCACACTTGAAGGAACCTGTGCCAATGTCTACAACTACTGTTCTAGTTCTCTTCATGGCCTTGAGGCTACCTGTGGTCACGGATACGTGGCTGTCCCTTGCAGGCTTCAACAGCTCACAACCCCTGCTGCTGTTCTCATAGACCTTCTTCTGGAGGCGCTTCTCGGTACCACCACCCTGCCACCACCCCACCACGCAGCCCTGGTGGCAGTGGCTCTGCTGGTGGCACTGGGTTGTGACATCACGGCCAGGCCTGTCCCTCAGGAACCAGCATGCCACTGAGCACTAGCACTGCTGCACCTCCGGGGCCAGGGAAGCCCTAGTTCTGTGCCTGGAGTGAACCCCTACACTGGCTGTGCTTTTTGGGGTGTTTTCTTTAAAGTTTTGCTTTCTAAATTAAGGCATAATATTACTCATCTAATCCGAAATGCGGCTGGTGTTTGAAATCAGGCCACAGCCAAGTCCTTCCCCTAACTGTCCCCCACTCCACTACAGGAAGGTCTTTGTTCTTTTCCAGCAGCAAGAGGTCACTGTCTGCCCCACCAGTGTGTGTGATAAGGTGCTGCTGCGTGGGGTACGGAAGGGGAGGACACCCTCTCCCCACAGAATGCGTTATCAGGAGTTACACAGCGTTTTCCCAGTGCAACAAAAGCTCTCTGTGCTTTTACTGAAAGCCGTTTCACCCAGAAGGCATCTTACTGAACAAGTCGAAGCAGGATGAGAATGAAATTGAACCCCACAAACCAGTTCTGGGCCCAGAAAGAGATGCCTGTTAATCGCTACAGCTCTGCTGCGTTATCTGGGAGGTCACATCCTGATGACAATCAAATGATAGCAGATCCTGATGTGGAGAACCAGGGCAGCATTAAACCACGCGCTTTCCTGTACCAACCTCAACATATGCAGCCAAGCACCTGCCCACCTTGGTGGTTTATTACCCTGGGGAACCCCAAAGCTGGTCATTGCATAATACAAACGGGGTTTCATATCTACAAAAAAAGGATGGGGGCACTGTAGCTGATGCTCCTTTCCATACACTCACAGTACCTTCCTACAAGAGTGTTGCTGTCAGCCGCACCACCCTCTGCAACATTATCACTGCAGAGAAACTTCAGAGAGGGTCCTCTAAGTCACTGTTTGTTTCCTTCCCTGTTCAGTAGAAACCTCCATCTGGGCTCAATGCCTCAGCTTCTGAATGGAAATAAATCCTTCCATCCAAACAAAACACCGCTTCCAGACTTCAGTTCCCATACTGATTAGTGTGGCAGCACCACAACAAAGCTGCAAACACACCTTCAATTTCACACATCACTTTATTTTGTGTTGGGTTTTTTTTTTTTTTGGTCTAACCTATTACAAAGTTAGTATGCTGCTGCTTCCAGGCTACTTTTTCCTGCCTCATATTTGTCATTCCAATTAACAAAAAACATACATGTCCACTAACATTTCACAGTCTTCGTTTTAGCCTGAAATCTGAAGACAGGTTGTGAGATGATTTTTTGCCATCATTTTGGCCAATGTTTCTTGAGGTGTTCCTTTAACTGTGGGATAGTGGACAGCTGTTGTTTGCAGCGATGGCACCTGAGGGGGGATGTGAGAAGTTCGGAGACATGATCTTTCACTGTCACTTTTCCCTTGCTTCTGATCATCTCTATCACATCTGAAAAAAAGTAAGAGACGAGAGGTGCTGGGACCGTGTAGTGCCAGGAAAGACGTGACACTGCAGCACCTCTGCCCGCTGTTCTGCGTGCACGGCGTGTCATCACTGCATTCCAGTTCAAACCAGTCACAACATTCGGTTGACTTTTACTCAGTGCTATTCCCCAATATCTGAGATTACATAAAATCCTTCACTTATCACCAAGAGAATTTATGGCTTACACATTTGTTTGGAAAAAATGTCCAAAGCCAGAACCCATAAGGAGGATTACATGTTATGAAATACATTTTCTAATCGTTACCTTCAGAGTTCAAGAAGTAGTCTGTAGTGAAAGAGTTCCAGTGCTTTTTGGTCTTCAGGGCTGGCGAATCAAAATCCTGGCTGATTACATGTAAATGTAGCTGACTGAAACAAATACATTACATAGGTAAGAGAAGAAGAATGTTAATGCTTGAAGTCCTTTTGCAGTAGCGTCAGTTGCGGAGCAGAGCTGGAGTGCCAGCCTCATGGGTCAGTCCTACCACATTTGACCCATAGTCCTGCGACAGAAGAAACCCAGTCTGTTTGGGAAGCCTCAACTCATGCAAACGTTCCCCTTAAACAGTCAAAGTCACTACTCTGCCTGACCCCTAACTACAGTCCATATTCTGGCTCGTTTCCAAAAAGGCAGAGACAGTGGTTTTAATGAACCAAAGGTTTAAATTTCATAGAGTACCTGAATCGGACTTATGAGTGACTCACAGCTTCATCCAAGAACTGGAGAACAACTTAGGAACGCTGGCTGCAATACTCACAGGCGTTTGGGTGCTGTAAGATCTGGGCTTAGTTACACACAAGACTGGAGTCCTTGCTCAGTATCAGGCAGGACTTTATGGGTTTAAGAGACTCTCTGATCACAGACTGGTGCCCAGGAGTTGGCAGCATGGCCAACTTGGCTATTGGCAGCGCTGCCTCTTTTGCTGGGACTGGACCACAGGCCTTCTGTAGCCCCAGCTGCAGAGCTCTGCCAGGGGCACCCAACTGGCAGATCCCACCAGACCCACAGGCATGTACACAGCAGTGTGTGCACAGCTGCACCCAAAGGACTTGGACAACAAGCAGCTGATTGTGTTTAGAACTGATTGTTCTTTAGCAATGCCACATCACATTACAGGTTTGGAAGAACAAGGTCTCCACCTGAAGACTAATCCAGATCTTACCTCATACTGGGGATAGCGTGGTACCCCAGTCTGAACTCCAGGCTCTCTCTGGCAGGGCACTGTTCGATCATTTTTTGCCCAACTGAGTGCATATGTTCCAGGAGTTCAAGATGGTCCCTGGTGACTGACTTCAGGCTTGAAATGGGGTCCCATGGTAAGATAAGCCAGTGGTAACGAGCTTTAGGATATTTATCCTTGATCACTACGGTCTTCTCATCTTTGTAAACCTTGCAAAAAAAATAACTAGATTATTTACTGATTGAAAGTTAAGTATCTTATTCCTATCAGCAATATATTTAGTGGCTTTTGAAACATTAACCATGTGCACGTCCCATTGTGGTTGCACAAGTCCCTAAGCACATGTATATGCTGCTAGTACAACTGGGACTGCTAGGAAAAAAGTCAAGAAAGATTACTAGATGGGGAGAAATATCAAGCAGCAGAGCATTCCACTTCAAGGAGGGCTTTGTCTGGAACTAAGCTGGTCCAGGATATGTGCCTTCTTCCATACCATGCATCAAGTAGCTACAGAGTTCCAGCACCCGTCTTTATATACTTTAAAGGAAAATGCTTTCTATTCTTACATAGCAGTAAATTAACCCTTGCTGCAGGTGGATGCAAACTCTCAAAAATCACCTGGATGTAGACACCAGTGAGGTCTAGGAGACTCTACTTCCATCAGGCTACATTCAAGCTTTGCAGTCACTGAAACAAAATCACGGCCCCCTACTCAACATACAGCAAATAGGAATGCACTGGACTACCTCATCCTTCACAGATCTCTGGAGAGAGGCACAAGTCTCAGAGGTGCTACAAACAGCGTGCTCAGCGCTGCAGGCCTCCACCAGCATCACAATGACAAAATCATTCAAGTCTGAGCTATTTTAGTTCATGCTACCCACAGCGCTACTTCATAAGAGGAGAAAAGGAGAACAGATTCCTGTCTATCATGCCCTTTTTCTCCCGTTTTCATTGTTTTGCCTTCTGCAACAATTTGATGCTGCTGATGAAGAGAAACAGTAGCAAAGCATGTGGAGAACAGGGGGGACAACCTGGCCCAGGCAACAGAAATCTGTCAGGTTCTGAAGCAGAAACTGTGTGCTGTGTCTCTGATCTCTTAGCAGTGCATCTGTTGGAGAGAGGTGGATGGTGTCCTTGTCATCTTTGCTAATTATTCTCATACGTTTATACACAGAGCTGATCAGTCTTGCTCTACAGGAAGAAAGATTAATATTTCATCAGCATGCAAATCATAGGACTGATTCTTTCAGCAGCAAGACTGGTTGATGCCGTCATATTTTTATATACACACATTAGTGTTTGTATATGCAGCCAGTGGGGACAGAATCATAATAAAGTGTTTTCAGAAGAAAGACATATTGCCATTTATTTAATACTTTATTAAAATGCAAAGATAGGAACTCTATTGTTTGTGTATTTAGTTCAGAACCACAACTAATAAAGCTAACACTAAGTCACAAAGTTATTTGTGTTCTAACATTCAAAGAACAGTTCTAAAACCAGCTCATCTTTTGGGTCAAGAAAGCAGTGTCTGGTAAATGCTATATGAAATTGTGCTTAAGGGATGAAGATTAAGCATCATGTTTAAAAAGTAAGCAAGTATTTTCAATAGCTTTATTCAATAGCTTATTTCAATAGTTTTATCATTCCCCATAGAAAGACTGATTTGAAACTGCTGGCATTTCCAGAAGGGGCATCCAGTTCTCCTGCAACTCCATGCAGTTCAACACTTTAAACTTGAATTAATAATAAATAAATAAAATTCAAAAAAATCAACCAAGAAACAGGAACCTTCTGATTGGCTATCACGGAAACTATTTTCAGCTTGAAGGTGATCACCACCTGAAAGGGTTCAGTGAGGCTGTGAGATCATCTCAACTCAAACAGACAAAGGCTGGGGCAATCACACCCAGTGCAAGTGGTCAGACTGGCTGACCTCCAAAGGTCTTTTCCGACAGAAATTATTCATGATTTCAAGAACCGAGTATCATAGGTGCCTGTGATTCCGTCCCCTGAACACAAACTCTTGCTGAGAAGTACCAAGGGAAAAACAGGTCTCTAATGTTGAGACAGACATGCAGCAGTCAGCCAGCCAAGACCCAAGCTAAATGGACCCAAGCTTCAGGACTTACTCTGCCAGACAGTGCAATATTGATGGAAAGCATTCTCCCTAGTTTTGGAGTTGAGGTAGAAAGCTTGTTTTTGAGACGGAGTTGTCTGTGTATTGGCCATAAGCTGAAAATAAAATGGAAGTAGGTTCTACACATGGATAAGGAATATTCTCTCAGGGTTCTCTCAGAATACAGTAACAAGAAAGCGTGTATACACTGCAGCCATAAGAGACGTTTGTTGGATTTCAGTGTCTTGGGTCTGACCTCCCCAAAATCAGACAGCAGACAACAAAACAGTTTAAGGAAACCATTATGCAGCCACAAGGAAGCAGAAGGAGGGAGGTGCATCTGCAAAAGGTTAAAAGAAACCACCCAGGAAATTCCTGCTGGCACAAAGAAAGCGGATGGAGGAGGAGCGAGGGATCACATCCTGTCAGCTGGCACAGAGGTGCTGCAGTTAAGAGTTTGCTGGAAACCAGGAAACTGCACCGCGTTTGGAAACAAGGCAGTGCTCGCTGCCGACAAACAGGAACCTCCACCACTGGCTCAGTTTCAAACCACACCTCCATTTCCGTTGGTTTCCCTGAGGGAACAAAGCAACTGCACTGCCCGCCTGCTCTCCCAACAACTTACTGGAAATCTGTTGGCCTAATCCGACAGTGTAGAAAGCTCAAGGATAATTAACATAATGACATTCTGCAAAATCAGTGTATTAAGAGTATATTAATGCTGCAACAGAGAGAGATACAAGCACAATTCAGTCCTCATGCAGTACTCCATTTGCAGTACTGGTTATTCAGACTATTAAAGTAAACTGTAGAAGGAAGAAATAAACTAGACAGGAACTACAATAAAGTAAAAGTCTACAGCTCTCACCTGCATTTTTGGGTCTTGCATGGAGCTCTTTAGACCCTGACTCCAATGTCCTAAATGGTCCTAAAGCACAGAAGGAAAAAAGTAATTTGTAAGAGAATTAAGAATCCAAGTACATGTTTTAAAGCATTCAGTTAAGTACTTTAGTACCTCCATTCTTTCAGCTGAATGACAGCTGAATAATTTCCTTCCTGTAAATGCCACCTGCTCTAACTGTCTCCACAAAGCTGCTTTTGAAAACTTTCAACAAGACACCATTAAGATTCAAAGTTAAGTCTTTCAAATGGTGGAGATTTAACAACAAAGAGCTCTAGATCTGTTTTAATTTAGTAATTTGCATGCACATGCTATGGCATGGTCCATGATTACCATTGATGATAGATCATTTTACTAAAAGAGCTTCTGCTTCATGGATCACAAGGGCCAAAGGAAGTGCAAGGATCTCCATTAACAGTCCTACCACATTCTGCTCTGCACAGAACTGGTTGCAGCGTGTGGCCTTACTCTTAGATGTATTTATTTGTTGATACTGTGCAAGGAGTTGCTTGTACAGAAAACAAGAAAGGCACAGGAAGATCAAGCCAGCACTAGCAGGTATCTCTTAACTTGGTTACTAGAAGATGGTGCCTTGAGTGTATTTTTTTCAAAATAGATGAAGTTTTATCTGTTCAGATCACTTTACAGGCATTATCAATGATGATCTTCATCATATTCTCATACAGAAAGATGTTAAAAAATTATTATAGTGCTGACACGAAACAGTGTGAAGCATCTTGTCTCCCTGCTCATACCACCACCAATCTGGCCTGAATATAACTAGCCTGAGTTCACAAATGAAACCTGGGACTGAAATTTTGTCCTGAGGTGTTTCATTTCTGTGCCTTGTCCTCCAGTAACTGCACTGTTATTATTCCAGATGCACTAATCAGTCTTTTCTTTTGTCTGTGTCAGCAGGACTAAAAGCTCACTTTTGAAAGATTTTGCCTGACAAAATACATTAATGTAAACCTGGTTCTATTGTAAGAAGTGAACAGAACAGAAGAGAAAAGAAAAAGAAAAAAAAAAAGAGAGAGGGTCAAGTTGTTCTGTTCTCTGTGCATAACCTTTTAGATAACCACTGCTCTATTTGTAACACAGCAGAGCAGTATCCTTGTGTGACTCCAACTAAACTGAGCTCACGTGGACTGTCCTTCTAGCAGAAACCACAGCAGGAAGCAGAGATCAAATCCTCACTCACTACAAGCAAAGCCCTTAACACACACCAACTCCCCAGCTTAGGTTAGAATGGGCCCCAGGTAACTTTCTCCAGACCTGGGTGATGTCAGGAGCAGAGTCTTTGCCTCAGGACATGTCAGCCCACATGCTCTGAGGATCCGTGTTCACCTGAGCCACTTCCCCATCAGCAGCACCCACAAAAGACCAAAGCCCTGATAGAGGAGACCATCCCAGGTGAAACAACACAAGAATACTAATATCAATACACTTGCCTTTTTGCTTGAAGTTCCTTCATGGGGAGATACACTGGTATTGCTTAGCTTGGGATTTGCAGAACTGCCTTGTGTATCTACCACCTCCATCTTCATTGTTTTTCTGGGAATAAATTCTACATCATCATTCTCGCTGGAGTCCTCACATGGCATCTTGTTGCTTTGTACATTTGCTTCTGCTTCTGTAACAGTTTTCCCTGACTCTTCCGCAAATTGCACCGTGTAGGGGTAAAGTTTATTCACAATATGCAGAACTTGGCCTGGCTTCATTTTTACCTCTTCACCTTTGCCAATATTCACGAGATCAACACTAGTTGGGTTGACTCCTATCTTTGGTAGGGAGAAAAAGGGGGAAAAAAATAGCAAATGATGTTGTAACTGGAATCACCAACTACCACTCCATTGTCCTGGAATATCACTGTGCATTTTATGTTCACTGTGCCCCCTCCCCACACCAATCCACTCTAGAGGACCAGAGAGGTCCAATGCTGAAGACACCTCTCTATGGCCCAGTTTTGCAATCACAGCTGTCAGCACACAACACTCAGGGTCATGGTGTCACAGGGACCTGACAGTTCTGTAGCAGCTGGCTACAGAGTTACAGCAAGACCTATGCCACACTTTGCTCAAAAAAATTAACAAACCATGAAATAACTGTTAAAATAATAACAGCCTTAGTAAAAATTATTTCTGAAGAGTAATGGTAGTTTTAACAAATTATTTCAGTGCAATTGTACCCAGAAATTTTCCCATTTTCAAATTATTTTACTTCCTTCTCCTTTTTACTGCATTTTGGTTTATGTTTCTACCAAATGCTGTCCCATCAACACAGTTGCCTTCAAATACACAAGCACACTCTTCTGGCTCATTTCAAGAGGCAAGGGACTTCAGGCTCACAACCGCTGGCTCACCAACCACAGCCCACTGCTAACACTTGCAACACACTCCCTCCTGCATAGGTGCAAAAAATCCAAAACCATACAGGAAAAAAGTCTCCTGAGGCCCCAGAAGAGTCCACTACACAGGGATTATCTCCTTGCTCCTTCTTTTTTCTTTCCCAAGCCAAATGTGATAACCCTTCTCCAGCCCACTGAAGACTGTGGTCAAATACAGACATTTACGCATTCCTTCAAGAAAGGCTAAACCTCTCTGTCCACCTCAGCCTGTGCAAAGTAAATACCACTCTATCTGTATTTTAATGCTCTTATTTTCATTTTGCATCTTACACTTTCACAAAACCAACTGTCATTTATTCTGTTCTAGCAGAAAATAAGGACAGCAAGGTCAAACATTTACCTGCCTCTCTCATTGCATCAGTCTACAGTTCTATGCAACTCTAAAATAATTTTCCCATCAAACCAGTGTTTTAAAGACTGAGAAGTTACATGAATATCGGAAAGGAATACATTTACCTCTATCTCAGGCATAAGCGGTAACATAAAGTAGTGTGGGCAAACTACAGTGACTGCTTGAGAGATGGATTTTGCCTGATCATGAGGGTGACCCTACGGAAACTGGATGTCTTCAACTTCAGCAAAATCCTTTTGGTTAATGTTTATGCATGGAACAAGCTTTAGGAAACCAGCTCTTCCCTGTGACTTATAAACTCTGTCACAGAATGTTTCTTCATCTTTGTCCCTGCGATACCTGCCTGCTTCACAAGATGGTACTGTGCCTCTCGTCACTTAGCATTCACTGCGATGAAGCACCTGCCTGATTCCAGCCAGGATCTCTTCAGTCTACAGTTCCACAGTGGAACTTCACATCCCCTGGGCCAACACGCTATCAAAAAACTGATCACTGCAACCCTGTGCCACACACAATTCAAGTGGGCAGCAACTGTAGAGCAGGCAGCAAAAACATGCTAGCACCCACCGCCAGAAAAGTATTCCCAGCCCCAAGGTTCCAGTAACGTGGTATTCTAATTGTGGCTAAGGCTGCCTTCTGTGAAAAAAAAAAGAGAGATCTTTGCTGGATTCACCAGATACTGGTGGGGTCCCTGTGCTTACTGAGCTCTGAAGGCATTTTGATGGAAGATGTTACTCCTCAATGGGCAGAACAGACTGATACGTTATTCACACATGCTGATGCTCTGGGCACACATACATGCCCCAGCACCTGAAGCCAGATAATTTTCTCTTTGTATTATTTCAGGGATACTGATTCTCATAAGCATGAGAAAGTAGGGCTACATCCATCCAGTTGGTAGCATGAGATTGCCTTCAGTGCTCTTGCACGTCCTTCCAAGAGGTGATCTTTGTCCCTAGCAGCCATCAAAACAGAAACCTTCCACAACTGCCCAGTCCTATTAACACAAGAACCAATTTGACCTTAAATGGAGGGCTGCCTCAGCTTTATAGGCTTAAAGCTCAGGAGGCACATCAGCAAGATGTTAGAAAGCCAACCGCATCCTGGGCTGCAACAAAAGGAGTCTGGCCAGCAGGTCAAGGGAGGTGATTCTGCCCCTCTACTCTGCTGAGACCCCACCTGGAGTACTGTGTCCAGCTCTGGAGCCCTCAGCACAAGAAGGACATGAAGGAACGAGTCCAGAGGAGGGCCATGAAAATGACCAGAGGGCTGGAGGACCTCTCCTACAAGGACAGGCTGAGAGAGTTGGGGTTGTTCAGCCTGGGGGAGAGAAGGCTCCAGAGAGAGTCTTCTAACGGCCTTCCAGTGCCTGAAGGGAGCCTACAGGAGAGCTGGAGAGGGACTCTATCAGGAAGTGTAGTGACAGGACAAGGGGTAATGGTTTTAAATTGAAAGAGGAGAGATTTAGATTAGATATTAGGAAGAAATTCTTTCCTGTGAGGGTGGTGAGGCACTGGAACAGGTTGCCCAGAGAAGCTGTGGATGCCCCATCCCTGGAAGTGTTCAAGGCCAGGCTGGATGGGGCTTTGAGCAACCTGCTCTAGTGGGAGGTGTCCCTGCCCAGGGCAGGGGGGTTGGAACTCAATGATCTTTAAGGTCCCTTCCAACCCAAACCATTCTATGATTCTAAGTTTAGGGGAAGAACTCCAAAATCTCCCAAATATAGCACCTGGAAGAACAGGTTGAGGACTCACAGCAGCATTTCCTGATGCTGTAAGCCTTGCTGTCTGAGTTCAGAGCCCAAAGGAACAGTGCAGTCCTTCCATTGAGGTACACACAAGAAAAGACAGATCCCTTCCAAAAGCTGCCCGCTGTACTCTCCAGCTTCAGGCCCTTCAGACCTGGTGACCATCACTTGCAGCACTTGTGGAGTTTAAGCATGACAACCATCCCAGTAAGTATCAGAAATACTGTACACCCACTTTTAAAACATACCTGCTTAACTGTGACATACCCCTTGTTACAGTCTGCTTTTAACTGAACTGGAAAGAAAGAACAAAGTGTCACAAAACAGTGTAAATAAAAAGGCCAGAATTCTGCTGGACCACCTCATGCAGAAAACACTCCTGTATTTTAAGATACAGGAGTATCTTCTATCTTCTGAAGCAGGCAAAAGAATACGTCTGCCCCATCCTGCTTCCAGAACCACAGGTAAACCAAAACCAACCCCTACGCTGAGTCACAGCTGAGTATTTCAAATTATGGATCAGCAAAATACTTCGGAATAAAGCTGAAATCTGTGGAATTTTCTACATTCTTGCTATTCTCACCAGCCCTCTGTGACAACAAGGCGTGGAGCAGGACTGTGTCCAGAGGGAAGACAGATAAGGCAGGGAAGCTGTGAAGGGGAGTATTTTATTGATCACAAATATTTTTATATATTCTCCCAGCACATCTATAAAATAACAAGTCATACTAAAAATCAGCTGGTGGAAGACAAAGGATATGAAGTGCCACTCACAAAGCAACATGACTGCAGGCCTAGGGACTCATGTTAAGGTTCAATGCCTTAGTTTACAAAGGTGAACTTCCTGTTATTAAGTGTCTCCTCTGACTTTTAGGACCCAGAGATCTCCACAAGTGCTTACAAAAAAAACTTGATGACTTCAAGAATCAGGCAACTCTATGGACCATGAAGAGAAAACAGACTATAAACCAGCGACTCCAGAGGCCAGTCTAATGAAAGCCTGCTTAGATTTCAAGCAAACACCGTGATTTCCCATTTAGACCCTGCTCAAAGCAGGTTTAAGAATTAGGCCAAAGCATTGGTCCATTAGCTTCACTATAACTTAGCCAAACAGAAGAATGATGTTTATTGATAAACATGAGTGCTGCACTGGTATCTCACACTCTTCACAATTTCGGTTGCTGCTGCATGCAGGAAGTGGACTTGGAGCTACACCTTACCTTGCTGCCGTGAACACTTCTTATCCGTTATCCCAGTCTCTGGGCCACGTCCAATTACCACTGCTTCCAAGTGTGGCAGTTTCATTCGCTGATTGCATTTCTCTTTCCCCACAAGCCAGCACACACGCATCACTGTGCTATAGAGCAAAACAAACAGTGTATTACTATCACACAGCTTCCCAATGGGTCACCTTTCTGTGGAGCTGGCTCCAGGAATTCTGCTGCCAGACCATTCCTTAACTGAGTGGTTTCTGCTAGCTAGACTCATGTTTCTGAAATTCAAGGCAAAGCATGGCATTAACACTAGCATAATCTAACAGCAAGTTGCTGTCGAAAGGGCAATCCTATTTTCCTTCCTTCTACATCACTATACTTCCTCACATCCACGGTTCGTGTATAGGAAAAATCAATTGAATCGACAGTTCCATCTGACAGACAAGCTGACCCACAAAAGAAGTGAGCATGGTTGATCTCAAGAGATTAATTTACCCACCAAAACAAAGCGGCAGAAGATAGAGAGGGCGAGAGAGGGGAACAGCTTCATCCGGCAACAGTCTGCAGATGGAGCATGCTACAAAACCGGACCCTCAAGTTTACACCCATCTGACAGCAAAGATCCCCACACGCCCCAGTCCCTGCCAGGTGCTTGGTGCTAAGCGCTCCTCCTCCACAACTGCGGTGAGCTTATGCCTGCGGCGGAGAGCAGCCCTCCGTCCCCACTGAAACCACGTGCAGTGGGTCCCACCCAGCTGCACCTCTGGGACGGGCCGCCTCCACCGCTCACTACACGCCCCACCTCGGGGGGGGGCGCCGACTTTACCCCGGGTGCCGGGGGGGTTTGGGCCTGCCACACAGCCGACGCAGCCGCCCCAGCCCCCTCCCTCCCGCCGCCGTTACCGGCCACCCGCGCCTCCGGCCGTGGGGAAGCCGGGCCCCGTCCCCATAGCACCGCCACACCCCCCCTCCTCCTCCTCAC